ACCCAGCCCGACACATCAGCAGAACCAAAGCAAATGAAACCGAACCGAACTGAACCGAACCGAACCAAACACAACCGACCCCAAAGCGACCCCATTCAAAAAAAGGAGTGACACTCTATGAAAGAGCATTGGCAACCAGCTCTCGACTTCAAAGCAAAGCAAGTGGGCGTGGTCGTGGGCGCTTAAAACGACAGCTTGCCACATATATATGTATATATATATATATATATATATATGTGTGTTCACTTATTTTATAGGTATGCATGTAGATATTTGTACAGATTGGTATATTTTGAAATGTTGTACAAGAGATTTCAATTTCCTGGCATCAATTTGATGTGGCTGGAGGTAATACGCAAATCGGTTCGGTTCCACTACACAAATTGAATTCATTTTTTGCACTTCCTCCTCTTCCTCCTCCTACTGCTCCTCCTCCTCCTCCTCCGAGTGCTGCTTTTGTGCTGCACTCGTGACAAGCGCATCCTTCCGTTCGGCAGGAAACAATCCCACCAATTCCATTGATGGCTTTTCATTGAATAAACATACATTTTATGAATTAGCAAAAGCACATTTATGCCATGCATTTTAGTTTGGTCAAGTTAATTATATATATAGGCCATATGTATATTTGTATTTTAGCTTAAAATTACGGCTTTTGTATAACTCAATTAATTGTTATTACCCCAAATAAAATCACAGCTCTAAAAACAAAAGAATACAACACAAATCTAAACATATTCCACCTATCTTGGGTACCTATAATGGGTGTTTCTTAACCGATCTTGATGAAATTTGGGTAGTTGATCAATGATATGCTTATGCATATTAGGTATTAATTAGCAGATTCTAGCTTGAAAATTGTAGTATTTATTGCTATTGGAAATTTAAATGTATCGATATTCGATAAACGGAGGCAGTTATCGATCAAAGGAAGCCAACTTGATCTGCGCCGGGTATACAAGAACATATATTCCAAATTTGAAGTCTTTAACTCTTATAGTCTCTGAGATCTGCGTGTTTCTCTCGACTAGGCTGTTGATCCTGATTCTAGTCTATCCAGAGGAGCCTATTTTGTAATCGATAATCCACGATCCACGATCTGACTTAAATTTATAATCAGTTTATATACCGTCGTTATCAGAATATCTTATAAGAATAATAATATTCAGTAATTTTAATTAAAACTTATATCAGATCAAGGTGTAGCTTATATCCTGATCCTGATGAAGAATATATATACTGTATGGGGTCGGGGAGGCTTCCTTCTGCCTGTTACATACATTTGCACAAACCATTCTACCCTTTTTACCCATTTCTAATGGGTTCAGGGTATGCAAATATATATTTCATGTACAATGAAGTTGATTAATTTCTGTTTATAGATTATTGTTGATTATTTAAATCTGTTATTATTTGATGTAAAATTGTATGTATTTTTGATGTAAGTGAATTAAATAGATAAAATGCATTTTGAATGATAAACCATGTTACATGTTTAACAAATTTGGAGCCGATCCCATTGAATTAGAATAATTGATTATACGGCTTTTCGCTTTCGTGGAACGTATCTAGGCCGTAAAGCGAGCCATGGTTGTATTAAACATTCAAAACAATAAGCGAAACTTTCGGCTCAACACCCACCAACAACTTGCAACATTCATAATCCAAGTAGTGACCTAAATCGCTGCGCAGGCAAGTTGTGTGCATAGCCCTAATTTATTTATTTACTATTAAGCAATTGTTTAAAACAATAATAATAAATATATATGTATAAATATGAGCTAAGAAATGTGTTGAAATGATGGCATTTTCTACACTTGACAGACGAATTTGATGCCAATCAAGAATATTTATTCGATAAGCTGAGAAGGCTATCAGCTAACGGTACTTGAGCGAATTTTGCTGTTATGCAAAACTCGCCCTCTTCTTTAAATCCCCTTCACGTTTCGCTCACCCGCTCTTTTTCTTCTTCTTCTTTCTCATACATAACTGTCTCAGCTGTTTCTTTCTATTTGTATTTGTTTTTGTTTTTGTTTTCTTACATAAAATAAGTCTGACTGGCTGACTGAAAAGCAGCAGCAGCAGCAGCAGCAGCGACGAGAAACATTGAAAAAAATGAAATAAAATATAAAACATAAATGACCCTCAGACTCCACAACGTGTTTAGGCGCACAGCAACAACAACAACAACAACAGATGCAAGTACAACAACAGTAACAATAACAGCAGCAGCAACAACAACAACAACAACAGCTGGTCACCACGACCACAAACCGTTTCAAACCGGTTCAACAATTCGCATACTGTCGTCTCATCGAGCATGTCTCTGTGTGTGTGTGTGAGCTTACCTAATGCGCCTGTTACCGCTGTCTGCCTGTCTGCCTGTATGTGTGCGTGTGTGTGTGTGTATCTGTGTGTGTTTGTGTGCGCGTGTATTTTTATGTTCCTCTCCGAACCGTAGCTGTGAACCGCTCTCAGTGTGCTCCGCTCTTTGCAGAATTGTCCGTTGCAGCAGCGAGTGCGAACGAGAAGCAACTAACTGTGATTGTCTGGCACCGGTTCATAAATTGGTTTCTGCTCTGGTTTGCCTCTCAGCTGTGCGGGCTCTTTTGTTCAGTAAACGAACGATACTCAAATACGACGCACGCTTTTCTGTATATATATATATATACATATATATATATATATATATATTATATATAAAATATATATAATATATGTTTTGTTTGATTGCTGTTGAAAATGTCGCTGAACCGCTATAAAAACCCAGTTAAGAATTATTTCATTTACAACGATGAGATCCGTAAGAGCACATGCAAAGTGTGTTACTTTGATATGGCTGGGAGGCACTCGGAGAACCTGATGCGACATCTGAAACGCAAACATCCATCCACGTACGCGGAGGTGATGCTCGAGAAGCAGCGGCGGCGATCCACGGCGAATTCAATTCAATCCGGTGCAGAAACTGACCCCTTGTCATCCATGTTCAAATTCGAAACGGAACCACACAAATTGGTTATTAAATCGGTACGAATTATCTTCATATGATATATACATACATACATACATATATATACACAGAAACCCCAATTAGAATTGCTCGACTACGATATACCCTTAAATCTATTCTAGTTTTATTTGCTCAATTTTCGCTTACATTTTCTTTCTTTTTTTTTTGCACTCATTTTTTGAATGGCAAACACAGGCATTGAAGAGTAAAAAGTTGATTTTTTCCACAAGCCCGAACTAAAATCATCGGCTTGCCGCACAAGCGCCTGTACACACATACATATACCTACATATGTACATACATACGCACACGCAATCGTAGATAACGGGGCGCTGCAGAATAGAAACACACACACGCACTCACATACACACACACATATAGATTTAAGCTCGCGTTGATTGTGATGCCATCCCTTTCTAACGCTTGCTTAGAGCAATTGCTTGAATCTATTCATTTATTGCTTATCCGCACTTGATGCGATTTGTTCAATTGCTATCGGAAATCGAAGCGTATCGATATTCGTAAAAAAGCAGCAAGTTATCGATAAAATAACAAATATAATTTGAAAACTTGTATTCTAAATTTGAAGTCTTTTGCTCTTATATTCGCTGAGACGAACGGAGAGACAGATAGACTTGGCTATTGATCCTGATTGAGAATATATATATTTGATGGGGTTGAAAATGCTCTTTACAAAATCATTATTTTTTAATTGATTCAGTGGAAAAATCTTAGGCCAAGCATATTTTCCAAGTTGGTTTATTCGTTAAGCTATTGAATTAAGTTAATTAATTGTCGTTGCACTACTCATTTTCAGTACGAAATTACTTATGCAAGATTCGCCATTTTTTCTCTGTGTATTTAGCTGAGACTCGCAGCTGTTAAACTAAAGCATCGCTCTTTTTTCTCATTCATTTTGTTTATATACTTTTTGTATTTGTATGCACAAAATGATGGCAACGAGCAGGAAAGATTACAATTCCGACTGGAGGAACGTGACCAACAGCAGGTAATTATAACAAAAATACCGCTTAAAAAAGTTACCTTCCACGCCCACTTTTTATGCTTTCCTTTCGCTATGCCTTTGATGCAATTTGTATAAGTTTAATTAATATGCTAACCCTAAAGTACAAATATTAAAAAATGTTATAAAAGTTAAATAAAAACTTAATTGTTAATTGAATTATGCTTTTCCTAATATTAATCATGAAACTCAAAAGTCACTTGAAGGTTTTTAGATTAAAGATCAAAGATATTTTTTCAAATATTTATTTGATAATAGTCAAAGAACTATAGAACTTATCATAATAGAGGAAAGCAGGACAGCAAATCATAGTTTTATTGTGATATTAATTGTGCCACATTTGATGGAATCTTTCAGAGAAATCATTTCGACTCCAGAGACTACAAATGCGACGACTCTGTCAATGATCAGGCTGAGCAGGCGGAGGAGGAGGAGGCGAATCAATCGGCTGGACAACTGCATGACTTCAATGAATCAATCTCCTACCAAGACGATGGCAGCAATGCGAATCAATTTGTCATCACCTGTCTGCCAGAACCACTACAACAACAACAACAACAACAACAACATCAGCAGATCCCAGTTAGTCCCGGCAGCAATCCAGCGAGCACATCTGCTCCGATTGGCCATCCCATTGGGGATGGCATGTCGCAAGTGGCCAACGATGATGCCAGCCTGCTGCAGCTTCTAGGGTATAAGTTCAACAAATACACCCCGAGCACCAAGTACACGGTACAATATCATATTAATCGCATATTGTACAAGGCCGACATGGGTTGTTACGATAATGCCGATGCCAGTCGACTGCCCGATTCGGATTTGTAGCCGCCTTATGTCACACGATCTGTATATATATACATATATATATATATATTATAAGTAGTAAACACACCTTGACTAATTCCACATTGTTATTTATCGGTTGACGACAAAGAAAACTGCAACTTGATGTTAGAAAATAGCTCAAATATGTATTTTAATTCCAATTGTTGTTGTTCAATTTTGTTATGGAACAATTTCCATTTGATTATTTCCGGTTGCTCACAGTTTTTTTTCAGAATTTATAAATCAAGAACGACAATCTTATCTTAACTGTCGTATTTGTTTGCATAACCAATTGCCAATCGTCAACGAAATATTGTTATACATTTCGAAAACCCAACAATTTTTGGCCCGACTTTGATTCATTTGGCTAATATAACTTGTTAAGCAAATAAGTTTTTGTCATGGAAGATATCATATATATAAAGTTTGGCAGTTAGCTGATAAAATTAGTTTCAATATTAATCAATTTTCTGTTCAAATTTTAGAATTTTAATGGTGAATTTGGTTAAGATAACTTGTTAAGCAAAAAAAACAGAAGGGATTTCTTATAAAGAATTCTTAATTCTCAGTCATGCTGATCTATATCTGATATATATATATATATATGCTCAAACTCAACTTTTTCAATTCTTTTTCAATTGAATACAAATTAAGACTAAGAAATGAAAATGATTTCTGAACTTGAATTGTATTATTTTTTTTTAACATAATTATGAAAATCAGCAGATTAATTTGGGGGGTTGGGGGGTCAACTTATGTAAAATGTGAATCGTTGGCATTAACCTTGACAGATCATTGCCCCGCAGTTGGGTCAAGTGGCCGCAGAGTTCATTGGTTCATCTGATTCATCTGGCGCAATCCCCGCCTGCCGCTGTCCCGCCGCCAACGGCTGGGGTCAACAGCTGCTGTCCAAACACATCCAAACACATCCAAATTCTTGGCTCCTCCATGCTGATGAGCGCCTCTTGTTTATGAAAGTACATTTTACCTTCTGTTTTTTCTTCTTCTTCTTTTTTTCCTTTCCTTTTTTTTTTTTGTTTTTTTTTTTGGCAGTTGGGCTTAATTTACTTTCGTTAAGCGTGTGAAATTTTGCGTTAATCATTTGTTTTCGGGTATTTTGACTTTGTCATTCGGTTCGAGCTACAGTAGAAACTGCCTGCGTTGAACGTTGTCTTGCTTGAAAGTATCAGACCCGTTGAACTCGAGCAGCCACAGTGGCAACTGCCTAAGTCAACTAGTGTGATTACCGTAATCAGTCTGATTACTGTAAAACTATCGTCGTTAGTTGTGCTAACGACTTGAACCAATGCCTCAATCTTTTGGTTTTGGTTTCTGAACGCAATTGAACAATTGAATTGTTTTGCATTTGTTATAAACAAAACTATTAAATATACATTTTTTTGCTGATTTTAATACAAGTAAAAAAATTATATTAAAAAAATGCAGCTTGGAAAATGAAGTCTTATTTGAGTCGTATTGTCTGTGATGAGGAAGAGCATGCAACAAGCTGTGCAACAATATCGAAAACCAGCAACAACCACTGTCAAATGTGGCCCACTGTGTCTGGTCAGGGCGTGGCAAAAATAAAAAACAACAAAAAAAAAAGTTGCCATCATTTGATGGGTGCCGAGGCTGTGGCTAAGCAGGCGAAGAGAAACAAGAGCCAAAATGCTCCGAGTGTGTGTGTGTGTGTGTGTGTGTGGGTGTTGGTGTGTGTGTGCACACAAGTTACACACTCACACACACACACACACATACAAGCAACGGTCGGACAACGTTTAGGGCTTCGTCTCTGGGCTGGTTTTCTGCGAATTTTGAACCTGCGCCCTGCTTGTGTCTGTCTCTCTGTCCGTCCGTCTGTCCGTCTGTCTGTGTGTATGTGTGGCTGTGTGTGTGTGTGTGTTCGGCTGTCGTCGTCGTCGTCGTCATAGGGGCGCCCTGTGCGGCTAACCCCCGTATCCAGTGGCGGGTCGAACTGAACTGAACTGAACTGAACTGAATACTGAATGCTGAACGCAACGCGTCCTCGCCGTCATCATCATCATCATCCTCTCGACGGTTATTAAAGGTTCATTATCAAATATGTCGGATGCCAGCTCGTGGGTACAGGCAAAAAGAAGAAGAAGAACAAGAGCTGCACACACACACACACACACACACACACACAGATACACGTGCAGTTGAAATGCAAACAAAACAAACACAGCCAGGCACAAAAGTCGTTGTTGTAGTTGTAGTTGTAGTTGTAGTTGTAGTTGGAGTAGAAGCAGCGTATACATAATACCCAAAGCCGTTTACTTAGGTGCATTCTGGCTGACAGCGTCACACACCTGCCGCCTTTTGTACACACACACACACACACACACACACACACACACACAGAGGGACTGAGGCCATTTAGAAGGAGGCCAATGCACCGCGCTGAACCATTCTTAGGTTCATTGATGCTCTATTTGCATTGTAACTAAAACTAAAACTGAAACTGAAACTGAAACTGAAATTGGCTCAGCGGCCAACTAAATGCATCCTTTTAGCCAAACAGTTCACAATTCACAATTAATTAAGTAATACAAATCGAAAAGTACAATAAAACAACAACTGCTGCTTACAACTCTCAAATATCTTGCTGAAGTTTTGCTTTAAGGACACTCTGCATCCTCGTCGTGTGAACTGAAAAAGTGCTTGAACTTAATGCTTGAGTGTTAACAGATATATATATATATTATATATTAATAATAATAATATATATTAATATAGAAACAAGCACAGCCAATTCATGGCAAACAGTCGCAGTTTTTTTTCTTATCTCTCAGTTAGTAATTGCAAAGTATTTTTTATTTTTATCTAATTCTATTCTACGAACCCATATCAATTTGTCAGCTGTTGCTGAGCACAAGCAAACATAAATCTTTATATATATATATATATAGTACTAAAGCTGATATCTGGCTGCTAATGTTGTATATAACAAAATAAGAAAACGACAACAAATATTTGTGGCACTTAACAACGAGCTTAGATTGCTGGTTAGCTGGTTCAGGAGCAGACTATATCCTTGAAAGGCTGACAACGATTTAATTGCTGCACTTGCAACAAGGCTCGAAGAATGCAACTCACTAAACAAGTTTGTGGCAACCATGGAATGCACACATGTCCAGCAGAAATGCATTTATTCTGATAAAATGCCACAAAAACAAATCAGTGCAAAGAGTTAATGATTGCCGCTGGGGATGCCAAAGCGGAACATGTGTATTTGCTAAGCGGCTAAGCAGTCATAATCCGTTAGGCAGATAACGATAAACGTGCTGATTGTGCTGATTGTGTGGCATGATGTGACTCACGCCTCGCGGGGGGGGGTGCAACCCAAACCGAACCAAAAACGAACTGAATTGAACCAAACTAAGCCCATACAAATATATATAGATATAGATATTGATATATAGATATATACTTATAGCTATACATCATATGAAAACCCAAATCCAGAAGTCGGCGCAGTAACAGTTGCATCGCATGCAAACTAGGCATGTGTGCTGTGTGTGTGTGTGCTGTGTGTGTGTGTGTGTGTGCTGTGTGTGTGTGTGTATCCGCATCCGTATCTATAAATGTGAGCACGTTTATGCCGAGCTCTGAGGGATGTAGCTGAAAATTACACACTGAGATACAAATACGAAAATGTCGCCTGACATTTTTACCCACTGCTTTCATGTAATTCGCTTTAGTTTTCTACTCCTCGCCTCGCCTCGCCTCTTCTCTCCTAACCTCTCCTCTTCCCTCCTCAGGGTTCTGTTTTATTCTGTTCTGTTCTGTGTGTGTGTTTTTTTTTCGTGTAAATAAAATAGATGAAAATCAATTTGACGTGTCTTGAATTCTGTTTAAGGTTTAAAGAACTCGTTTCACAAAATGATAAAAAGAAGAAGAAGAAGAAAAGAACAAGCGACGAAGTACAAAAACACAAGCGAGAAGCGAGCAGCAAGCAGCGAGGGGGAAAGGGGGAGGGGGCAACCAACGGGAGTGTGTTTGAGGGCGACACAGCGAGCGCAAGAGAGAGTGCGAGAGAGAGAGAGGGAGAGAGGAGAGCAAGCGAAATGGAAATAAACTCAAAACTGAAACTCGATTTGTTTGCGGGGAATAGGTTATGCTTGCTAGATGCCTGTAGATGTGGAATGGGGGGAGGGGGGAACACACACACACATACAGAGCACATCACATGTGTGTGTGTGTGTGTGTGTTGTGTGTAATGTTTCCGATGGGCCCCAGTGACGATTTAGTGTTGTGTTCTTTCTTTCTGTTTATTTCATATTTTTATTTTATTTTGTTTTTTTTTTTGTGTTTTTTTTTTGTAAGTGAAAATATGGGATTTACCTAGCATTAAGGGCTGCTCATAATTACATCAATCTTTTTGCCATTTAAATGGAATAACAAACGAGCAACACTCGCTCACCATGTGTGTGTGTGTGTGTGTGTGTGTGTGCGTGTGTGTGTGTGTGTGTGTGTGTGTGCGTGTGTGTGTGTGCCTAGGCATAAAATGGGTAACAATCAAAAGTTGCATTCCTGATTTCAGATTCATTTTCATAGTTGACATCGCAGCTACCATCAATGTTAAGAAATCATATTTGGAGAACTCCGATTAATTGGTTAATCTGTCATTAGAACAAGCTATTGACCTCAATATATAATTATGCAAGTTCAAAGACTTCAGTGTTAATTAATTAAAAATTAATTATAATTATTATAAAAAGTTACAAATTATACAAATGAATTAAAATTTAAAATATAAAAAAAAATAAAAAATTACTTAAAAAAAATAAAAATAAAAAATTAAGATAAATTACTTTAACTGGATGTATCTATATATCCAATTTAGGAACTGTTTTTAAACAAATATATATAAAAATGTCAAATAATTCAAAATTTATTGCAATGATGAGGAAAACACAGAAGAACAAAAGAATCAATCAGATCAAACGAGTTAGGATAATTAAGAGAAAGAGAAGAGAAGGAGAAGGAGCGAGAGGGAGAGGGAGATGAAGAGTGAGAGAGATAGCCTGTGAAGTCAGATTAATTTAAACCACTTAAGATCACAATTAGATCAGCGATTTCCCAAGAATCTAATTAAAGGCAGAGAAAGTTTCCAAGGA